TATATAAGTAAATAAATTACATTAAAAGTTACTCAGCAGATACAATTATAAAGTTAAATACTAATTGCTTTTAAAATTCAACTCTTAAACATTTTATTTAGTGATTCTTAACTGTGCACTGAATAAAGAGTAAATCTGTTGTTTACTAGCTTTCTGTATAAAGCATGGGTATATATACAGTACATAAGGAGATATACAGTATACCTTGTCATTAACATTTTCTGGGGATTGGAGGTGATTAGGAAAAATTTTTTAAAAAGCCTTCTTAGGGGAACTGTTAACAAAGACTGAGAAGCATTGTTCTTATTGCTTAAAAACCTTGGTGTTATTCTTCACTCATTTGTTTTTTGGTACCCTGCATAAATCCATGAACACTCCTTTTTGCTTTACCTTGAAAATATATCTGATCACTTCTCATCGTCTTTTTTGCTACCACCTTGGTGCCAGCCATGGTTTCTTTGTCTGGATTATTCCAATAGCTTCCTAGCTAGTTACTCTGAAGTCTATTTTCAACGTAGCTTTAAAAAGATCACGTGAATATCACCATGTACCTTCTCTGCTTAAAAACTCCTGTGCTTAAAAGGGCTCCCCATCTCAGAATTAAAGGCCAAAGTCCTGTTCACAGCGGCCTACAAGGCCCTTTATGAACTCCTTCTTTCAGATCTTGGATTCAACTGCTTGTTCCCTCTCTACTCTCCTTTAGCCACACTGGCCTCCTTGTTCTTCCTCTAATATGTCAAGACATTCCTGTTTTAAGGCTTTTGCACTAGTAGTTGTGTATTCCCCTGCCCCCTCCATGTGTGCTTGGTTACCTTGTTCTCAACATCCAGATCAAATGTCACTTCCTTTTAGAAATTTTCCTGGATCAGCATACCACCATTACCCTACCACACAGGATCACTCTCTTTAGTTCTTTACAGATCTTATTCCTACCTGATATATATTTGTTTGTGTTCTCTTGACACTGTTAAAAATAATCACAAAGATATTAAAACATAGGGTTTATTTCAAGCAGTCAATCTGTAAGTGTGCAGGGGAGATAATTTTGTTCCCACAAACAAGGGCTCAAAGTACAATACTAAAAGATAAATATTTGAATTAGCTCAGAACAATAATATTTGATTGCTCTATGATTTATAAAACAAACTGCAAATTGAAAGAAAAAAAAACCTGCAAATTGGAGGAGTGCGAGTCTCCTTGAATAAAGAAAATGCAGAAAAATCATTCCCAAGGATTGGAGATTTCATAGGCACTTAAGTATTTTTTATTTAATGAATACAAGTTTCCATGGCAACAGAGTACTTAGTGATTACTAAGTTAGCATTAAAAAAAAAAACCAAAAAAAAAAAACCTCCTGAAAATTTAACTTCTTACTCATTTGTGGGAGCTCTGGTAGCACAGTGCCTAAGTCAGTTGACTGCTAACCAGAAGGCTGACGGTTCAAACCCACCTGCCACTCCTCGGAAGGAAGATGGTGCAATCTACTTCCGTAGTGATATTGCCTCAGAAACCCAAGGAGGGGTCGCTATGAGTCGGGTTTGACTCGACGGCACATAACAACCACAACAACTCATTTGTATCTATGAGACCTCTTGAAACCGAAATCAAAGATGCACACAGCCTTTTTCATTAGAGGTAATGGGTTCGTATTGACTATCTTTTTCTAACCCAAAAAGACTATTTAGAATACTGCAGAACAGTTCCTGGAGAGAAACAAAAGAAAACTTGCAGTTTGGGTGAGGATTTTATTGTTAATTTTTGACTAATAAGTTAAGAGAAACTCCTTAAAATCAAAGCAAGATGGCTGTGATTTTTTTTTTCTTTTTTCCCACACCACTAAGTCCTAGAGGGTAGGGCTTTTTGTCTGCTTTGTTCTCCGTATCTAAAACAGTCCTTGACACAAAGATGTTCAACAACGTTTCATTGAAGTAATAAATACTGGACAAGAATTGGAAAAGCCCTGGTTGTGCAGTAGTTTAAGTGCCAGGGTGCGAATCAGAAAGTCTGTGGTTAGAACCCACCAGCCTACTCTGCAGTGAGAAAGATGTGGCAATATGCTTCTGTAAAGATTACCAAAACCAAATACACTGCCGTGGTTGTTGTTGTGTGCCGTCGAGTCGGCCCCGACTCATAGTGATCCCTCCTTGGGTTTCCGAGGCAGTATCCCTACAGAAGTAGGATTGCCCAACCTTCCTTCCGAGGAGTGGCTGGTGGGTTTGAACCGCCAGCCGTCTGGTTAGCAGGCAAGTGTCTTAGCC